GGTTTGTGCGGGGAGAAGGGTGCAACAATGAATGAATGGAATCCCAAAATCTCTGTAGATGTTCATTGAAATGAAAAATAAACAACCTAAATTAAAAAACAAAAACAAAAAAACCCCAAAAACCCCTAAGGCCAGAGGAGCAGGGTAGTGGTCATTGTAATGATTTTTACTTGAAGAAACCATAACGTTTCTTCATGATTCCCTGCAAGAGCAGGGGCCATGCCTGTTTTGATTACCACTAGGACTGGAGTATGTGGGAAAAGAGATCTGGTGCCCAAAGACAGGGAATTGAAACCAATCCGCTCTGTGGGAGAAAGAAGGACACTTTCCAAGTCTCTGAAAACCTGCTGGAGGCTCTTGAGGCACAGAACAGCAACATCACGACTAGATCATGTACAAGTGGCTAGAAGGCTGTTTGAGGAGCAGAAGTCATTCCAACTTGTTTCCTAATGTTTTTGGAGTGAACACAAATAGTGCCACTACTTAGCTCTCTTTCTGAAACCCCCAGATCCTCTGGCCACATTCTCCCTCCCAAGAGTTCATAAAGGATGGGAGAAGATGCAGATAGGAATTGAATAGGTAATTAGCCGAGTCTGTAGAACTTCCATGGTCCTAAGAAGAACTTCTTGTCCTTATCAAGCCCTACTGTGACTTATGGTAGCGAAAATTCATCTTATTGATTGATTTCTCTATCTTTTCAAGTCATCCAGTGTTAAAAACACTTGAATAGGATTTTTTGGGGGGGCTTTAGTAGAGATTAGCTTTTGGGGAACAAGGTCATGAGAGTAAGAGTAAAAACTTTTTCCATGTAAGGAAGAATCAGTAGTCAGAGAGGAACAAGAAAGATAAGGCCAGCCATTATCCCACCCCTCAAACCTTACAAATATAAAGGTGGTCTTAAATCAAAGCTAAATCTGGGTCTCTTATATGACACACTCCGTACTAGTTACTACTTATCAAAAACTTATTGTGAGTCCCAAACTCACGAAGTTTATCATGAAGTTGATTCTGGCCAATAATGATCGTATTAGGGAGTTCTGGTGGCCTACTGGTAAGGAGCTATGCTTTCAGTGATAAGGCAGGTGGTTCAAATCCACCAGCTTCTCCAAAGGAGAAAGGGCAATCTCCTCCTGTGTGATTTACTGCCTCTGGAAATCTGCTGGAGGGTCCGCTATGGGTTGGTTCTGCCTCAGACAATATACAACAACAAACAATAATGATTTTGTAGGATAGAATAGAATGCTCCCAAGGATAGGCAATCTCCTACCTTGCTATTAACTGCCTCTGAAAAGCCGCCAGAAAGTCAGCTATGAGTTCCGACTCAACAGTACACCACCACCACCACCACCACCACAACAACAACAATATTTATGAAAGCAGAGAGCTACATTCTTTTGTGGAGTGGCTGGTGAGTTCCAAAGGCCAAGATTTTGATTAAGTATCTAAATGCTTAACCACAAGGAGTCCTTATTAAGGACCAGGTCTATTACAATCATATATATGACATATTTCCCTATGAATAAGATATTGTCTCCATCTATATATGAGTTTGAGTGTCAGCTGTCACACATAAGTACACTGGGGATATATGGGCCAGTTCCTAATTTTTTCTAACTATAAAGGTTAAATGCTTGATTTGCTCCAAGGTATGATTCTTAGAATCTCCTGATGAGCTTTCAAAAACCCTCCTTTCAGCTGCTAAAATTCAGACTCTGTTGGCCTAAATTAGGGCCCAGGAATCGAGTGGAAGCAATTTGAAGTGAGATTTAGAGACAAGTGGAGGAAATCTCTCAGGAAGGATGTTCCAAATACAGTAGGTTTGGAGTGGACCAGAGATTGTGCGCCTCTAAGCTCTTTGGTGAAACCCATACTTCTGCTGGTCCTTAATCGTCATGTGGAGCTAAACTTCTGGGCTCTCTTTAATTAAATGTGTCTCAACTTTGATTTTGCATATTAGAATCCTGGGAAGCTTACAAAAGTAAAGCAAACAGAAAACCCCACAGTATAAGCTATGCTAAATGAAGTGGGGTGGGATGTTCGTGGCTTGTAAAATTCCCAAATGGTTTCACTGTCCAGCCAGAGATGACCCCTCAGGTCTAAACAGTCAATCCAGACTGGATGTTCTCCTGCGCTCAGTGTCTCCAAGCATGTTCTTGGATACTTGATTTTGAAATTACCTGGGGATCTATTTAAAATGCAAACTAACTGCTCCTCCCCAGAAAGTGAATCAAATCCTCAAGAGTAAGTTCGGATCTTGGTTAAATCATTCTGTTATTGTTGTTTCAGTGCTCCTAAACATGTTACAGTCTTCGTATTGAAATGGTTATGCCATGGAAGTGGCCCCTGCTTCCTTTCCTAAACTTGAACTCCTGGGAATTTTGTAATGATCTCTCCAGTTCTGAATGGAACTTCACTTTCTGACTTTCAGGTGCTACGGACTCTGAGAAAACCAGTCTAAAGTGTTTGAGATACAGGATTCCATGATTGCATAGCAACACACAGAACAGTCAGCTGTCACCCCTGGGCCACGCCAGGCTCCAAGGATCCCAGCACAGTCCAGATGAAGACACACAGTAAGTCCCACTCTAAGAAAATCTCTATGTAGCCAGTGTGCTTGGCAATATGCCTCTTTTAGGACATTTTTCGGTTTATTTTAATATAACTTATTTAAAGAGGCTTCTCTGGAGGTTCCAAAAGAGAATACATGCCAACCAGTTAATGATGTTTCAAGACTCATGGTCAGGGATAAAATCCAAGTACGTCTGTAATGTTCACACTCGTGAGACACCCTGGGTGACAGGACAATTAGTAAAGTTTGTTTCTGACATACATGTGCATTGAAATAGGACCTTTCTCTGCATCTCAGGGTCAAGTTTCCTCCCTCCCCTGCAATCAAGCTGCTTTTTAAATTAACATTCTCTTTGGTAAGTATTTTGCTTGATATATATTCATCAACAAGACAACAACAACAACAACAAAAAAACCCAAAAAGAAAAAAAAGAGAAAATTGCTGTCAGAATGTTGGGACTTAAATTTGTCCTCACAGTTGCCTAGGTAATGACTTTTACTCACTGTAATTCTATAGGTTTATAGGATGGAGTGTAAAGTTCCTGATACAGTGGAAAAGCCAGATTGGCTTGAAATACTTTGGTCATGTTAGAGCTCCTCTTAAGGAAATTAACTCTCTGTGTGTGAGAGCACATGCGTGCACACACACACCTGCATGGATGTGAATATATGTGCTTAGTCTCTCTAAATGTTGGCCATTCCCATCAACAAACGAATGGATAGAGAAACTGTGTTATAGTCACACAATGGAATACTATGCAGCACTGAAAAACAAGGAACTCATAAAAAATACTATTAATTGAAATAGGACCTTGCTCTGTAGCTCAGAGACATTATGGTCTGGAGGACATTATACTGAGTGAAACATGTCAGTCACAAAAGGACAAATACCATATAGTGCCACTGTTGTAAAACAAGACTGACATGGGGGGTGGGGGGAAACTGAGAAAAGAGGGGATAAATAATGAACACTGCTTTGAAATAGATGAGGGAAAGAACTGTCTAAAAGAAATATATGATTAGGGATTATTTGCATGACAACAGTCCAGAATAAGAGGTGCACAGCAAAGTGGACTGGGGGGAGGGGGAGGAGGAGGGAGGAAATTGTGCAACAATGAAAGAATCTTTTTTGAAGAGAAAAGCAAACTGGGGAAGGAGGGAGGGAGGAAAATGTGCAACAATGAAGGAATGGAAATCCAAGTTTTCTGTAAACTTTCGTGAAAGTACCAATAAAAAAAGCAATAAAAAGTTAAAAAAAAACACAACAAAACAACACCCACACCTCCGACCTTGGAGGACATTATGCTGAGTGAAATATCTGTCACAAAAGGACAGATACTGCATAGGGCCACTATTGTAAAATAGGACTGACATTGGGTTTGAGGGAAGACAGAAAAGAAGGGGAGGAATGATGTTTATTGCATTGCAACAGATGAAGGAGAGAACTGCTTAAAAGGGATATATGATTGGGTATTGTGGTGACAGGAGTCCAGAATGAAGGCTGCACAGTGCAGTGGACTTGGGGGGAGGGATTGCATAGCAATGAAAGAATTTTTCTTTTGCTTATTAAGGAGAAAAGTGAACTGGGAGTGGGGAGGAGGTGGGCAGGGAGAAAAGTGCAATAATGAATGAATAGAAACCCCAAGTCTCTGTAAACTTTCATTAAAATTAATAAAAAAACAAAAACCCCACAGCTACAACAACGAAAAACACAAACCCAGCAAAACTAACGTTAGGAAAAAAATGTTAGCCATTGTTTAGACTACAGCCATTCTCCTCCCTTGTGATTTACAGCCTCGGAAAATCTGCTGCGGAGTCCGCACTGACTCCATGGCAATGGGTTAGTCAGAGGCAGGGGTGTGTTAACGCTGGGGTGGGGAATGTGGGGGCGGATAGAGGGAGCCAGGACCTGCTTTGAACTTGGCAATGGCGCTGAAGAGCGCAGCCGCCCGCTCGGAGCAGGCGACGATGAGGCTGATGGTGTCGTGGCCGCTGTGCAAGGCCGCCTTGCAGAAGTGACAGAGCAGCTGGTTGTCACAGCGGCAGTACTCGGTGATGTGGCTGGAGGGGTGGTGGATGCAGATCTTCTCTTCCTGGTCCTCCTGGCTCGTCTCCATGAAGACGTGGTCCTGCGAGGCCACGTCGGAGTGGAAGGTTTTGAGGCACTCGTTGCACAGGTTGAGGCGACAGGTGACGCAGCGCTTGTGCGCGATGCGCCGGCTGCGGCACACCTGGCAGTGGATGGGCCCGCTGGAGCGGTCGAAGCGCCACTTGAGGTAGCCGTGCTCCTGCATGTAGCGCTTGGTCAGGCGCCCGCGCAGGTAGTTCTCAGGCAGCTGCATCTTGTTGCTGTAGGGCATGCAGTGAGAGCGGTTGCACACCGGGCAGATGAGGATGTAGAAGTTCTCCGTGACCTCGGCCGTCTTCTGCAGCTGCCGGAGGCATTTCTCGCACAGGCAGTGGTTGCAGGGCAGCATGAAGGAGTGCAGACGCAGCCGGTTGCACATAGGGCAGCTAAGATGGTCCACCAGGTTGCTCTTTCCTGGCACCTGCTTGGTGACGTCGTCCACCGGGGAATCATCGCCCCCAATGCGCAATTCAGTCTTGGAACTGAAAGTAGAAGGAAACACAGGGCTTCAGGAAGCCGACTTCAAAAGCTCTGTGTGGTACCACTGTTGTAGAATGAGGCTGACATCAGGTGGGGATAAATTATGTATACTGCATTGAAGCCCATGAGGGAGAGAACAGTTTAAAAGTAATGTATTTTAGGGCATTAAGATTATCATAAGAGTTTGGAATGAGAGTTGCAGAGTGGAGTATATATACTCAGAGTGGGGGTGAGGGGGTGCTGGGGGATTGTATACCAATGAAAGAGGAGTTTTTCTTCTGCTTTTCAAGGAGAAGAGCGAACTGGGGG